AAACCCTTAACTGCCCCCTTATGGAAAACTTTCTGAATGACTAATGGAGGCGATGTCTCCATTTAATGAATGTGTTCCGTTCAATGTTTAAATTTCCCCCTTTTTCTTTTCTCCTCTCTGCTGTTTAGTTTTTTTTTCAATGTTCAGCATAACTAAAAAGTCTTAAGTAGGGAATTGCACATAATTATAGGCTCCACACCAATGACAACGTGATGCCTCTTCTTAAGTATTCATAATCATTTTTGTACTCTTCTTTCCTCCTTTGGACAATTTAGTTAGAATGACAGCAGTGTCCTTTATTTCTCTTGAAGGCATCTGCTTGTCTCATTTTGTGTACAGGTCATAAAACATCAAGAAACACAGTAATGTATTTTTTAGGTAGTCACATATACATAATTTTTTTAAAAAAACAATGCTTTAAATTAATAGAACAAAAGTGGGAGGGAGTAACTAAATTTTATCTATTAAAGTTATTTGGTGAGGTAGGGAGGTTTAAAAGACTATCTTTCCAACTCAAAGGCTGTGACCACCCTGAACATGCTGGCTTGTGCCTGCCAGCTGACAGGTTGTTTTGTGCTGTTGGGTGTCAACTCAGTGACATCCTTTGGTCTCTCAACCTTTCCTTTATTACTGGCTTAGTGAAATCTGACATTGATAAGAACCCTAATTTGGGAATGTTTCACAGAGCAGGATCATGGCCAAATTCAGGAATCTTGCTAGTTTGCAAGACGAGAGAATCCATGCAGAACCAAAGGCTGATACTAGAAGTCAGCAATCACGATGGGAATAAATCCCACATTCTATGATTTCTAAATATCTTAATCTCCTCTGACCTTAAAAGAGTGAAACTGGCTTAATCTCGAGAATATGTTTACAAGAAAACACACGGTAAGGTGGAGTGAAATCCTAAAACATAGCTCTTCTGGCAGTTCTTTCCGACTTCTGACATCTCTTTATTACCCAGATTGTGAATTAACGCCCATTTTCTCTTTGTAGCATTAAATTCATAACAAAGAACATACAGCAATTGCCTCACTTACCTGGTCTAGGCTTAAGTCTTTCTGAATACAGGACTTTCTCAGGTGACAGTTAACCTAGTCTCATGATGCAAATGTACGTTTTAACTCATTTTTAAGGGAAGTATTTTCTAAAATTTATTTCCCTCTCTTTTGCCTTAGTGGCCAGGCCACAGGTTGACTTTGTTGTGAGGACTCAGGATCACCACTGAGGTCTTCTGTGCAAATGCAATGCTGCAACAAAGCCATCAGGGTTTCTGAGGCGAGCTGGGTCCCAGTGTATTCTAAGTAGCACAATGAGGCCATGGGCTCAATTTGCCTTTAACTTGTATCATCTAAACTTTTTGGTGTTCTCAAATCATTAACAAAAGTTCCAATTAATATTTGGCCTACAGTATTTCTAAGGATAGAAAGTTTTCCATCAGGAATTCAGTTCAAATATACCATTTCAGCATAAAGAAGGGATATAGGCCTATGACTCTCAATATAGGCCTATGGCTGGATTCTTCTTATTACTACTAGTCCATTAGCTGGCACTCCTCCTACATGCTGCTTCTCCCTCTTTTGTATGACATTAATATTAATATTTCCCCTTTCCCTGAAGCATTATGTCTTTGTAGGCTTTAGAATTCAGAGCTTTAGCTTTGGTAGTCATCTTGGAACTTGAGAGAGGAGGTAAAATGCAAAACGTCAGTGCCTAAACTGAAGCCTGACCGAATAAGGCCATTCTCTCTTGATTACGTCTCCATGTTCAACATGAATTTGTATCAGTAGAGATACTAGATTTGTTCCAGGTACAGGATTTTGGGTCACAGCATCAAAGTATCCTGTCTCTACGGTGAACAAGAGTCATGGGTCTGGTGTGCGTATCTGTGGACTACAATGGGTTACTATGGTTTACTCTCCAGTGTCAGGGTCACTTTTGAGGCTTCTGAACTCTCCTGCCCACAATTCAGCCAAAAGACAGGTAGAAGGTTATGGCTACCTCATTCTGGTACTGCCCCAACACTGCCTGCCATTTTCGGATGCTGAGCTAATCAATTACCTCTGGTCTTTAGCTCCTTTCTGGATGTCTTTTCTTAGAGGGTCAAATGAGATATATAATAACTTACTAAAAAATGGATACTATGCTGTCTTTTCTGTATCTTTCAGTCATCATCCCACCGCAATTTTCTTTTAATTACTTCTTCCCTCTTCACCAAAATTGTTCTCAATAAGGTCAAGGAAACATTTGTTTTCATTTTCTATTGCTGCTGTACCAAATTACCACAAACTTGGCTTAAAACAACACAAATTTATACTCTCATGGTTCTATAGGCCAGAAGTCAGAAATCAGTTTCATAGAACTAAACTCAATGTGTCAGCAGGGCTTGCTCCTTCAGGAGGCTGTAGGGCAGAATCTGTTTTCTTTTTCTTTTCTTAGCTTTTGGAGGCCATTCACATTCCTTGGCTCATGGCCGCTTTCTTGTATCACTCCAACCTTTTGCTTCCATTGTTGAATCTCCTACTCCCTTTTCCCTAGTCAAATCTCCTTCTGACTCCCTCTTATAGAAATACCTGTGATTACATTAGGACCTGCCTGGATAATCCAAGATAATTTTCCCATCTCAAGATCCTTAATTGCATCTACAAAGTCCTTTATGCATGTAAGTAACAGGTTCCAGGAATTAGGACCTGGATATCTTTGGGGACTATTCTTCCTATAGCAGCATTGATTTTCTGATTTTCAAATCTGATGTCTTCTGTTCAGTCCTCATCCTAACTCTCTTGCTATTTGATACTGTCAGTTACTTAGGGAAAAGCTCCTCCCTGACTTTCATGATTATTTTCCACTGATATGATTTCTTTATTGTCTGTCTCTCCCCTAGAATGCAAGACTCTGAGAGTAGGAATCCTGGCTATCTTGTTTGTTGTTTTATCCCCGGTGCTTGGAATAATATCTGCCACTATCAAATCACAAAAGGCATCATGTAATGTAAATTGGGTAAACTTCTCCCATTCCTATTTCCACCACCACTCTCTTATTTTCCTTCACGGGCAACTTCATCTGTTCTCATGGGTCAAGATTAGTATTCTCCAGGGTTTGGGAATAGCTTGCTTTTCTCCTTATATGCCAGGTGGCCACAGTTCCAACCATACTCAGTGGGCTCTCAAATGTATACCTTAACCCCAGACCTTTGTTTTGCACTTCTAACTTTAATCTTTACCTTGATATCCCACAAGCATGGAGAATTCACCATGTCTTGTCTTTCCCATCCACCAAGCACAGCCAAAAACCAACTTTTCCTTCCTCTTATATTCTCTGCCTCAGGGAATAAAAAGTATCAGAATTCATCCCATAGTGTAAGCAAGAAAACTAGGAGTTATCCCAGAATCCATGCTTTCTCTCTACTCCCCTCTCCACATCACTACCCACCCATCTAGTCAGTCATTAAGTTCTGTCAACCTCACTCCTAAATATCTCCTGATATCTCTATCTGACTCCCATTGCCTTGGTTCATGTCCTCATTACTCCTGTGGAGTAGGATATAAATGAACTCACCAATGTGTTCCTCCTGACTTCTCTTGAGTATGGTAGAATGTCACACTCTTAAGCTTTTTGGAGGTGTGCCAGAGTTGCTGGTCATTGCCTGTCCTGCTTCTGGTCTCTGCCAGTGGGCAGTGACTGTGATTTGCATACTGCTTCCATAGCCAATTGGCCCAGGGATGGGCTTCTGTCCTAAAGGTGGCTCCTTATATAGATTTGGTCAGCCAACTTAGGTCATGGGTGCCTGGTTGTAAAATATAAGCTGAGTAAAATTCCTCTTTTAGGATTTCAGAATAGAGAAGCCTGAGAGGCTCAGGGTGCTGTATTGCTGAACAGAAAGGTCAGCAGTAATGATGGGCATGAGCAGGCTGCAGCTATGAGGAAGCAGATACTGTGTGTAAGCAGGGGAGCTGTGAGCCAGGAGAAACCAGGGAAGAAAATAAGCCAAGGCACTGTGAGAAGGGTAATGTTTCAGTTTTGGGTGGTTCTTTCATTGGACTTCTGAAGCCTGGATGTATTGTGATTCCTACTGTCAGATGTCCATGAGATTGCTGCATTATTTAAAAAACCCCAGTCTGAGTATGCCCTTGTTTCCTGCAATAAACTGGCCAAAGAGCTATGTGTTCCAGTAAGCTCATAATGTTATGAGGAGACATGTGGAAGAAAGAGGCACTATTCTAGAGCAGAAATATGAAGTTCCAAACTATTCCACTTCTTCATAAGGCATTAGGTTGAAGCGGGGGGAAAAAAGGAAGGTTGTATCACTTTTTCCTTTGGAGGTGAATGAGGAGCTTCTTATATCAAGATTAATCTTCATATAAAAGGAACAAATTGATCCTTGCAAACATAATTTCGGAAAGGAAAAGTAATTGCTGCTACAAACATCACATGAAAATCACAGTAATAGGTGACATAAAACTGATACTCGCCAGTGGGATAATCAAACCACCTTTTAGATGCCATATTTCTAGAGATCTACCTTTCATTTTGCCGACTGTTGGGACCCATGGGTTTGCTGAAGATCTCCAGGATACTTAGTCACATGACCATATTCCACTCTGAAATAAGAATTGATGAGTAAGTTTATTGAAGATCTATAGGTTAAAACCAACATTAGGTATATGTAACTAATACTCTAAATATGAGATACCTTCAGAAAGCATCTTTCTGTCTCCCTCTATCCCTATATATTTGGTGGATGAATTTTTCGCTGTTTAGGATAAAAACAACAGGTCATTTCGGGACTCTTGAACATTCTCAGGCAATACAATGCCCCATAGTCACTTGAAATTGTTTTTGGTGCACCTAATGTCATAATCAAAACTTAAGACTTGGTTTAAAGTTAAGTTGTATCTTTTCCCTGACTGAGAAGCCATGTCGGGGTGGGAAGCTGAGGAAGGGGAGCGTCTTCCTCTCCTTGTTCTTGGCAGCTTCTGATCCTTCTAGAGTTGCTATGGGAGAAGGAAAAAGTGGAGACGGGTGAGAATGTTCTTATTTCAGTGGTGGAGTTGTACACTGGCCTACTTTCTGGACCCGATAAATAGTTAAAGCAGACCACACTTGGCATAGGCTGTTGTGGTTTCTTGGGAGACTGTACCCATTACTGGTGATGTCTTGCCTGCAGTTCCCTGATTCGGGCAAATGGGCTCTCCATTCAAGCAGACCCCTCAGCCCCTAGGAACCCAGTGTTCCCCTCTGGGTCTCCCCTTCTGAGGCGTGCCTGCAATGAAGGTGCCCTCATACCAGTCCCCTCTCACATTTGGTTCATATTTGGTCCACGAGGACACACACACACACAGACACACACACACACACACACACACACTTACTTCCCTGGGACAAACTCAGAAAACCAGCATCAGCTGCCTTCACTGTACAGCCAAAGCTGCTTGCTAAACTATCTCTTGCCTGATTTCCCAGGAGAATTAGACCACTATGTTCTTCTTACCCAAGGCCATACATTCGCTTTCCAGTGAGTCCAACTTATGCCCCTCCCTCTTGATATGAAGTGACTCCCAACCTTTCTACTTTGGTAGAAAATAAGTGAGAGGACATCTTATTTTTAAAAAACTCCTCCAAAGATCCTCTCTCCCAGGGTCATAATAATCCTCCACGTGATCTAGTATTTCCTTGAAATGTAGCATCTATTATTTCTTGGTGCCTCAGCCAATACTTTAGTTTGAGCATCCTATATCATGGGATTCTTGTTTGAAATTCTAGTATCAGAAATTTGTTGTTGAAAACCTGTTTCACCTTTAGTCTCTGCACTTCCTGCAAACCATAACCACGTGGTTCTACTCAGGTAAGAAGGGCTCCAAGAGAACAAATGTCTCTAGGCTTTCTGGCCAGCCATGCTTTCTGAAGGATACCAATAGATTGTCTCCATCTTAGTTGAGCAGACACTGAAAGAAACTCTTGGAACCTTTCCAACTGGTGGTCTAGGAGAAGGATCAGCAACCTAGGACCTAGGGGCTACACAAATCTCACCCTGCCTGGAGAAGGCAGGAATGTACACAGGACACCCAGACACACAAGTGGAAGACCTTGTCTGTGGCATCCCTGGTTATATTGAGAGTGGGATTGTCCTGCAGGACTACTAGAAGGGACTGTTGAGCTCAGCAGGCTTAAGGACAAGAAGAAAGACTGCAACAGGCTGGGGCAGGGAGGTCAGACATCCCTGAGTAGTCAGGAGCCAGAAGGACTGACTATGGATAAAGGCAGAAAGCATGGGAGGCTACTGCTGCTGGGGCAAAAGCACATTAGCTAAGGCCTTCACAATATGGATCCCAATCTACCTTGCCAGTCTCATCTCCTTCACTCTCCACCCCTTTACTCCAGCCACACAAAGCCACCTGGCATTTCCTGAATATGCTGTGTCCTTCCACACCCTCATATTTTTACATATACTGTTTCCTTATAGAATACCCTCCTCACTCCCAATCCCCATCCATTGCTTCTATTCAGCCATCAAGACCTAGCTTAAGTCTAATTTTCTGTGAATCATTCCTGCTACTTTCCCCACCTGGTACCATTTGACACATGTCAGTTCCAGCCCTCATTGCACTATGCTATGATTTATTCACTTGTCTCTTCTTGCTCCTTAACAGATAGTATCTCAAAGACAAGGACTATGATTTATTCATTTCTGTACTCCCACTACCTACTACTGTGCTTCAATGCTGTAAGGACTTGTATTCTCTACTGCTATGTAACAAATTATCATACATTTAGCAGTTTAAAACAATACATATTTACTGTCTTTCAGTTTCTGTAAACCAGAAGTCTAGACTTGGTGTGGCTGGATTCTTGGATTAGAGTCTCACTGAGCTGAAATCAAGATGTTGGTCAAGGCTGCAGTTCTCATCTGTCGTTGTGGATCCTCTTCTAAGCTTACTGATTATTGGCAGAATTCATTTCCTTGAAGCTATAGGACTGATGTCCCCATCTTCCTGCTAGTTTTTGACTGAGAACTACTCAGTTCCCAGAGGCTACCCAGTTTCTTGCCATGTGGTTCCACTAGGCAATTCACATAATGCTTGCTTTCTTCCCAGCTTGCTAGAGCACATCTCTCTATTTTCCTCTTTATAACTAAGCAGAGAGAATTCTCTGCTTTTAAAGGGCTCACCCAGTTAGGTCAGGCCCACCCAGGATAATTTGCCTTTTGCCATATAATGTAACATAATCACAGCAGTGATATTTCCACCCACACTCAAAGGGACAGGGAATTATCCAAGAGTGGGGATCACTGGGGTCATCCTAGAATTCTGTCTACCCCAGGGTTCAATATTTATGTCAAATAAATGTTCTAGAAATTTGTAAATTATAAACACTGCTATTCAATTGCTAAGATTTTGTTCTTTTCTTTTTCTTTTTTTTTTTTAAGAGACATGGTCTCACTATGTTGCCCAGGTTGGACTCGAACTTCTGGGCTCTTCTGCCTCAGCCTCTCAAGTAGCTGGGACTACAGGCATGTACCACTGTACTCAGCTTAAAAGGCCTTTTCAGTTGCTTCCAGATTTGTGTTGAATCCAGAATGGTTGGGGATACTGTATGTGAGATAACAGGAGCCCCCTGCAATGAGTCCAGGGAGTACTGGAAATCTGGGGCTGTGGGGCAGGACCTGGCCTGCCAACTGACTGGCTGTGTGACCTTGGGTTAAGTCCCTGATATTCTCTGAATTCAGATTCCTCCTCATACATAAAATGGGAGAGTGGGACTAGATAATGTCTAAGGTCAGCTAGCTCTAATATTCTATATTAAGACTGAATTATCCTGATCAAATTAAAATCTAGTGACTCACAGTATCCAAATTCATTCAAATAGTTTAAAAAATAATTTCATTACACATGGAATTGCAGTGGTAAGATTTTAAGAGGAAAGGCAGTTTTGTTTTCAAGTGAATCCATTTCTACACTGGCTTAATCTGACTAAATATAAATAAGGGTATGCAAATACATTTGTACTCTTTACATAGAATGGCAAAGAGTATTTTATCTTTAGATGACATATTTATGAGTGATTTTTTCCAAGATATTAAAATTTGATTTTAAAAAACCTACTGTCTTAAAATAAGTTAAATTAACTCAATGGATAGTAACTGAATAACTATGAAAGGCAGTCCTCAAATATTACAAATCAATTCAATGACTGTGTAGAGAATGTTGAGATTTTTATATAAATTTTAGGGGTTTAAGTCTTTCTTTTGTTTTTCTCAAATGACGCCTTTTTGGCTAGGATAATAATTCTCTTCTACTCAACAAAAATGAACTCTAATTTTAAACAGGTATTATTAAATCCCACTGAATAGGCTTCATGCAGATGTATTCCTTAAAACATCCCTTTACTGACTGTGCACAGTTATTAACAATTCACATTTCACTTTATCTACTGAGTGGAAGAGCATTTATTCTTTCATTAAAAAGTTAAGCCCTCCGGGGCAGCAGCAGGAATGCAGAACCTTCTTCCTATAAACGGCATTGCCCAGTGAATGTGAAGTGCTTCTCTATTAATACAAAAAGGATAAATAAGACAAATGGACTTCTCTCTCCCTCCATCATCTCCCTCCCTGCCAGTATGCTCTTCTTATTTCATAAAATGCCATTAAACAAATAGTTCCCACACTGATATGTCCATCAACCAAAAGAGGAATGTCGACATTTATTTGGCACCACTGAATTCAGAACATCCTTAGGGTTTTGTACAAGTGACAAAATGAGTATCAGGCCATGGTCATTTCCTTAGGAAGATGCTTTATGGGAGGAGAGGGTGGAAAATCATGAGGACATAAGTCAGCCTCCGGTACTTTGCTGCTCAAGTTTCAGGAGCTGTTTTTCAAGTTTTGAGGTGTTTACTCGATGCATCATCAGAAACTGGCCATTCAAGTGAAAGACAGGAATGTCAAATTTATACCTTTCATACCAGACAGAGTTTTCTGGAAGTGTGATGTTTACCTCCTGTAAAATGAACTGAAACAGAGACAGACTAAAGCTCTGTAGTTTAGAGACCATGGGGTGATGTAACAACTGCAGTGATAAACGGATCCCCAGACCATTTCTTATGCTGTTTTCCTTATAGTTGCTTTTTTAGGTCCACAGTCATCTAACATCCCGGATTTCCAAAACTTGACTGGTTTCATTATATTCTCTACTTCCTGATCTTGCTGCTTTTCTGTTACCCTTGTTACATTCCGCATCAGGACAGTACTCAGTTCCAATGAAATAAAACATGTCTCAGTCGGGAAGCTGACTGAGAATCAGGACAGAAATGTTTTGGTTATACGAACTGGAAAGGTGTATGTTACATGAAAACACATTGGTGCAAACTGCAAAACAAGATAAAAGGAATGAGGCAAAAGTTTAAAGAAAACACGAATACTGCACCTGCTAGTTAACTTTGACTCATTAAGAGCCAGAGTAAGAAAACCAGTACTGCTCAGAGAAAAACACTTAGGTGTAATGAGTTTTATGGTAATAAGCACTAAACTCTCTCTGAAGAATAGAAAGAAAACTTAAATGAAAAATCATTTAATCTCTTTTCCTAAAGAAAGGATCCAGGCAAATACTTTATACCACATCTAATATTCATTCCACATACATAAAAGCCACACTGTTTTATATTACCCTGTTTTTATACGGCTTGAGTACTTCCTTGGCTTCATCACAAAGGGGGCATGGGTCCTACAGGAAGAAAAAAAAATCAAGCGATTAAACCCAAAGAATGGCATTTGCCCTTACAAAAACAAAACAAAACAAAAAACCCCTAAGAGGTAGATTATACTTATTTTAAAGAATAGTTTTCTGTCACGTTAGTTACACAGCTTTTCCAAAGTAAAACACTACCACAGAATCTTATAAATAATATTTCATAGACTCTCTGCATTTTTTTGGTTGTTTTGTTCTGATTTTTCTCCATAAATGAAGCTATGTGTATGTGTATTATACATGCACATAGATGTTTCTCTTTTTCACTGATCTAAGGACTTTGTCCTTACTAGGTCAGGTGCACCCTTGTGGTCTCATACAGTTGGCCTGGCTGACACCACGAGGATGGCTTAAAGTCTGTTCTGACTGAAAAGCACTGAGCCTTGCCAGCCTGTTTTTCCTAATCAGTCCACAGGAACAAACCCATTAGAATGGAGTTAGATAGTAATTGCCTCATCTTTAAAAAGGAAAACAAATCTCTATTCACTTCAACGATTATTGCACTGCCTGTTTTCTCATTACAAGTGTCAACAATAAGTTTCCCGGACAAATTCTCCACCTGAAGAGCAAACAACTTTTAGTGTCCATTGTTTGCACTCATAAACCATCTAGCAGAGAAGTCTGATGAGAATACTATGGATCGACAGATTTTATTTTTTTCTACTTTCTCCTATATTTTTATTATACGTTTATTATAGATATTATATATATGAGACTATATTTTTTTATTATACTTTAAGTTCTAGGGTACATGTGCACAACGTGCAGTTTTGTTACATATGTATACATGTGCCATGTTGGTTTGCTGCACCCATTAACTTGTCATTTACATTAGGTATTTCTCCTAATGCTATCCCTCCCGTCTCCCTCCACCCGACGACAGGCCCCAGTGTGTGATGTTCCCCACCCTGTGTTCAAGTGTTCTCATTGTTCTATTCTCACCTATGAGTGAGAACATGTGGTGTTTGGTTTTCTGTTCATGTGATAGTTTGCTCAGAATGATGGCTTCCAGCTTCATCCACGTCCCTACAAAGGACATGAACTCATCCTTTTTATGGCTGTATAGTATTCCATGGTGTATATATGCCATATTTTCTTAATCCAGTCTATCACTGATGGACATTTGGGTTGGTTCCAAGTCTTTGCTATTGTGAATAGTGCCACAATAAACATACGTGTGTGCATGTGTCTTTAGAGTAGCATGATTTATAATCCTTTGGGTATATACCCAGTAATAGGATTGCTGGGTCAAATGGTATTTCTAGTTCTAGATCCTTGAGGAGTCACCACACTGTCTTCCACAATGGTTGACCTAGTTTACACTCCCACCAACAGTGTAAAAGCATTCCTATTTCTCCACATCCTCTCCAGCACCTGTTGTTTCCTGACTTTTTAATGATTGCCATTCTAACTGGTGTGAGATGGTATCTCATTGTGGTTTTGATTTGCATTTCTCTGATGACCAGTGATGATGAGCATTTTTTCATGTGTCTGTTGGCTGCATAGATGTCTTCTTTTGAGAAGTGTCTGTTCATATCCTTTGACCACTTTTTGATGGGGTTTCTTTTTCTTGTAAATTTGTTTGAGTTCTTTGTAGATTCTGGATATTAGCCCTTTGTCAGATGAGTAGATTGCAAAAATTTTCTCCCATTCAGTAGGTTGGCTGTTCACTCTGATGGTAGTTTCTTTTGCTGTGCAGAACCTCTTTAGTTTAATTAGATCCCATTTGTCAATTTTGGCTTTTGTTGCCATTGCTTTTGGTGTTTTAGTCATGAAGTCCTTGCCCATGCCTATGTCCTGAATGGTATTGCCTAGGTTTTCTTCTAGAGTTTTTATGATTTTAGATCTAACATTTAAGTCTTTAATCCATCTTGAATTAATTTTTATATAAGGTATAAGGAAGGGATCCAATTTCAGCTTTTACATATGGCTAGCCAGTTTTCCCAGAACCATTTATTAAATAGGGAATCCTTTTCCCGTTTCTTGTTTTTGTCAGGTTTGTCAAAGATGGTTGTAGATGTGTGGTGTTATTTCTGAGGGCTCTGTTATTTCTGAGGGCTCTGTTCTGTTTCATTGGTCTATATCTCTGTTTTGGTACCAGTACCATGCTGTTTTGGTTACTGTAGCCTTGGACGAAGAATCAATGTCGTGAAAATGGCCATACTGCCCAAGGTAATTTATAGATTTAATGCCATTTCCATCAAGCTACCAATGACTTTCTTCACAGAATTGGAAAAAACTACATTAAAGTTCATATGGAATCAAAAAAGAGCCCGCATTGCCAAGACAATCCCAAGCAAAAAGAACAAAGCTGGAGACATCACGCTACCTGACTTCAAACTATATTACAAGGCTACATTGGCAGATTTTAAAGGCTTCTCGGCCCTTGACTGAACAGGGACCTGCTATAGGTTCTCTTGCATGAGCTCAAAACAGACCCCAAATTACTTATGCTTATATAAAACCTTCTTTTTAACAGGACAGGAAGAGATAAGCTATTATGTAAAAGAGAGGCCTTTCCTCCAGCTTAACTCATAGCTTGTTTTGAAATAAGAACTTAGATCATTAAAGGTTCTTTCTGGCCCTAATTTCCTAGAACAGAGAATTGGCTTATCATGTTATTATTAGCATTAGCAATACATAGATTATGGATAGTTTGTAATGTTTTAAGATAATCATCCTAAAATTTTCAGAGAAAGTTTCAAAAAGTCAACACAGGATCTTAAAAGCAAAAAAAAATACTAAATTCAGAAGTACCAAATGTGCTAAACTTTTGCTTTTATATTAAAAACTTTAGAAGAATCTAGATTGGGTTTTTTGTTTTGTTTTGTTTTTTAGACCTGGGGTCCACAGAAGTCTATGCAAATTATACCTGAAAATATGTGTATATATTTTTATGAGGAAAGGCTCATCAAAGTTTAAAAGGATAAAGAACCAAAAAAATATACCAGTGGGATGGACCATTCAAATATCCTTCTCTAGGATTTTCCATGACACTTGTTATTTACTCTGTCCCTAAACCATAGTGGACATTGTTGGGTTGGCTGTCCACCACCCACTCCCCTTTCTTGTAGCAAGCATGCTATAATATTGAGTCACAGGAACTACTCTCAGCATGTGGCTGATTCCATCCCATAACAAGAAAGGTGAGAAACCTGACTTAGGCTCAGGCAATCAGTGCATCCTATCCCTCAAGAATGGGCCAATCAGAGTCAGTGGATAGCCATAAGACTTTTGCTGGAGTTTCTATAGATGTTTGAGATGTGAGATCTGAGGCTTGGGATGGTTGCAGTCATCAATGATGTATTAGTCCATTTTCATGCTGCTGATAAATATATGCCCAAGACTGGGCAATTTATGAAAGAAAGAGGTTTATTGGACTTACAGTTCCACATGGCGGGGGAGGCCTCACAATGATGGCGGAAGGCAAGGAGGAGCAAGTCACATCTTACATGGATGGCAGCAGGCAAAGATAGAGCTTGTGCTGAGAAACTGCCGTTTTCAAAACCATCAGATCTCATGAGACCCATTCACTATCACAAGAACAGCACAGGAAAGACTCGCCCCCATAATTCAATCACTTCCCACCGGGTCCCTCCCACAACATGTGGGAATTATGGGAGTTATAAGATGAGATTTGGGTGGGGACACAGAGCCAAACCATATCACATGAGAGGAACCAAAGAGGGATTTAACTCCGAGGATGCAAAGCTGAAGAGACTGTCAACATGTTTAGTTCCTAAATCAAGATGTTCCTGAAACCAGACCAACTCCAAAATCTTTTTGTTTAACTCACTCTAGGAAGTATGTTCTATTTCTCATAACCGATAGCAATCTGATACTATACTTTTAAGCATTTACTTCACTGGATTATAAGCTGCCGAAGGTGGGAGTGCCATCTTCTTATGTGCCTAATGGTACAGAATAAGCATTAAGTATAAATACTAAGCTGAATGGAAAATTGGTGTGTTTTTTGTTTTGTTTTTAATAAATGTTTTTGGCTATATCAGTTGCTGCACAAACTGAAGAACAGTACAGAACTGTTAGGCTGAGTGAGCAACACCAGCCTTAAGGGATTATTTAACTTCTGTGGTTTGCACATGGGTTTCCCATCATAGACTCTCAGATGATGAAATATTTTTGGTTCCATAATTTCCAACAGTGCAATATATGCTTACAGATATAAAAAGTAGTTTAGATTAAATATTTTCATCAATAAATTCATTTTTAAAACTCATTAAACTTCGTTATTAGGTAACTGTCATATATATCCAAATTGCTAAAATGCCTGAAATCTCAAAAACCTATTGAAAAGAGATCTTTGTTTGAATTGCAGTATTATTCACCAAAGTTACTTCTATTAACCTGCACTTTATTTCTTTTTTGTTAAATCACACAAAGTGATGTTAATTAGCAAAAAAGGAAATCAGTAATATCTGTATTATAATTTCAGGGACACAAAGCTGTTAAACATTTTAAAACTAGCTTTATGGCTTAAAACTAGTATTAGGGATAAGAAAACAAGTACAATCAGTCCTCAGTATTTATGGATTCCATATTTATGAATTTGCCTAATTGCTAAAACTTCTTTGCAACCCCCAAATCAATACTTGAAGTGCTTTTGCAGGTATTCACAGACATGCACATGCATAGAGTGGTAAGAGATTTCAGTCACCCGAAGCACTCATTCTATGCTGAGGTCAAACAAGGTGATGCTCTGCCTTCTTGTTTTAGCTCTCATACTGCAAATGGAAGCTAGTGTCCTTTTCATCGTCTGAATAGTGCCAGGATTTTTGCATTTTTGTGCTTTTCATTGATGATTTCACTGTTTAAATAAGCCCCCAGACATAGTGCTGAAGTGCTGGCAAGTGTTCCTAAGCACAAGAAGACTGTGATGTGCCTTATGGAGAAAATACATGTGTTCGATAAGCTTCATTTAGGCATGAGTTACACACAGTTGCTATTGGCTGTGAGTTGAGTGTTAATGAATCAACAATATATATTAAATAAGGTATCTTTATTAAAACAATTTTTTTCTCAACTTTTATTTTCGGTTTGGGGGTACATGTGCAGGTTTGTCACATGGGTAAATTGCATGCCACTGGGGTTTGGTGTATAAATGATTTCGTCACCCAGGTAGTAAGCATACACCTGATAGGTAGTTTTTCGATCCTCACCCTCCACCCTCAAGTAGGCCCCGGTGTCTATCATTCCCCTCTTTGTGTCCATGTGTACTCAATGTTTAGCTCCCACTTATAAGTGAGAACATGAGGTATTTGGTTTTCTGTTCCTGTGTTAATTTGCTTAGGATAATGGCCTCTAACTGCATCCATGTTGCTGCAAAGACATGATTTCATCTATTTTATGGCTGCATAGTATTCCATGGTGCATATGTAAAAATAAAGTATCTTTAAACAGAATCACACATAAAATAAGTTTCTGTATTTGGTAGGCTGATGAAAATATGACCAGAGACTCATAGGAACCTGTGTATTTCTCCTAGGAGCAATGGTTCAATATTCACTAATTCAGGGTTCAAGGTGACTTTATAGAACATAATTACCACAAATAATTGATTGCATTTCTAAATGATACATTTTTAAACATCATATTATAACCTATACGTCATTTTTTTCAATGTAGGGGCCAGATGACCATTAAATACATCAATTTACCCTCTGATAATTGGGAGATAATAAGGCATCTGGGTAGAAAACTGAGTTGCTGCTGTTGTGCTGATAGAAAAATTGAAGAGCAGGTCTGAAGAAAGTTTATTCCATTGCCTTTCCTCTCAACTTTGTCCCCTTTTCTTAAATGTACAACTTTCTTCACCCAACAATTTTACTTTTTCACTTTGTACCTTTGTGAATAAGGTCAGCACAGGCAGAGTTGTCTTAGAGGCAGAGCAATTTCTCAGGAAGAGTCCAAAGGCGGATCTGGCAAGTGGCATGCTATTTCCTTGAAACCAGAGCATCTTAATTCTGCCAAAAGAAAAATAAAGCAATAAACTTATGTGCCCTAGACTTTGTTCCTTACAATATGAACAGTAATTTGCAAGCTTATGATGGAATTTGCAGGCTTTAGAAGTGTTTCTTCAAGTCCAGGAGTGCTGGAAAGACCTAGAAATTTGGCAAGTCTCTCTGATGTCTCAACATTCATTGTATTCCAAACAAAACAGAATTTAGAATAGGAAAAAACCCCTTGTTATGAATTAGCTGTGTGCCTGATCACTTGGTTTCTGTAAGTAAACTGCACAGGTTTGTTAATTTGAATACAAAATTTCATCTGCAGATTTTGCCAGCATCTTGATGATCCCCTAAAATGAGGACGTTTCCTGAAATGGTTTTTATTCTCATGGATAGCTTATTATACTGGCAAGCATTCAATAACACCTAGCCACTGTCATAGTAAAGAAAACAATGAGGGCCAGGTGCCATGGCTTACACCTGTAATCCTAGCACTTTGGGAGGCCAAAATGGGCAGATGACTTGAGCCCAGGAGTTTGAGACCAGCCTGGGCAACGTGGCAAAACCCCATCTCTACTAAAAATACAAAAAATTAGCTGGGTGTTGTGGTGTACACCTGTAGTCCCAGCTACTCAGGAGGCACCTGAGCCTGGGAAGTTGGGGCTGCAGTGACCCATGATTGCACCACTGCACTCCAGTCTGGGCGATGGGTATGATATCTTATCTCAAAAAAAAAAAAAGAAGAAAAGAAAAGAAAAAGAAAAAGAAACAATGGGTAAGCAGCGTAAGTCCCCAGGCAAAAGTTCAGACTATCCCTTATGAGACCTATGCTTCTCCACTGTGAGACATAAGAAAACACAAAGGTGGCCGGGCGCGGTGGCTCACGCCTGTAATCCCAGCACTTTGGGAGGTCGAGGCATCACCTGAGGTCAGGAGTTTGAGACCAGCCTGACCAATATGGAGAAACCCTATCTCTACTAAAAATACAAACTAGCTGGGCATGGTGGCGGGAGCCTGTAATCCCAGCTACTTGGGACCTGAGGCAGGAGAATCACTTGAACCTGGGCGGCGGAGATTGCGATGAGCCAAGATTGCGCCATTGCACTCCAGCCTGGGCAACGAGAGCAAAACTCCATCTCAAAAAACCAAAACCAAAAACAAAAAACACAAAGCTATACTTACAGGAACTATAGGAGAGAATCAGGCTGAGTTACCTTGTCAGAAAAAAAAATCTACTCAACTCCTTAAGAAGTGTTTTAAAAGGAGATTATCATAACTTTTGGAAACCTTATACACAAATGTACTTGTGTTTCTACTGGAGGTATTCCAGTAAGAACAGCTTGGTGATCGCAGCATCCCAAACACTAGGCTTTGAAGCTTCCTCATCCTGCTACTTTGCTCAACATAAGACATAAATCCTCTGTGATGCTACAATCATTCTGTTTATTCCTAGTTATTCTACTATCTCCAGCTTTGTCCTTAAAACTGTAAATATTATAATTTCACTTTAAAAACACATGTGCACTGTTGGCATTGTCATTTATCAGTATTCCCAGGATGAACTAATTCCTGAGATCATAATTTTTAAACTTTGCTTTACTGTATCTCTGCAACTTCATCTATCACTTTCCCCTCCCTTACCTTGGCAAGTTGCAACTGCAAAGTTTCTCTTTCTGTTCCTTGAGTACCCAATATCATTTCTTCCTCGTTTCGCACTTGCTTTACTTCTGCATGAAAGGCTCTGAAGTAGCTTCTCCTCATTTGGCCTGGGACTCATGTCATTGCCTTGGAGATCTTAGTGACTAACTTACCAATGTTAGCCCATCACTCCCCACCCTCACATCTTGCTGTAGTATTCTTTTGCCCTTTACTATCTAAAATTATTTATGTCCCCTCCACTACAATGCAAGTTCTGTAAGAACAGGTACTTGTTCACCCCTGTATCTCTAAGTACCCACAATTAACCTGGCACATAATTGGTGCTCAAATATTTATTCGGATGTTAAGAGTATTAAAGCGAGCTTTTCTCACCTTCTTTAATCTTACCTCTAACCCTGATTAGATACTCAGTATGTACAGCAGTCACTATTTGGGCCTATTCTATATAATAACTAAAGATCAGTGCTCCTCAGGGTACCCACAAAATTTTGAGCTGAGGTACTGCTGCTGGTTCTAACCCCTTCACCACCACCTCAAACCTTGCCCTCCTCTGCTCCACAGAGCATGACTATATTAATTAAATGCTAATCTTCACTGGAGACCAGGCTCCTCAGTGTAAGATTAGCCTTAAACTCATTTCAAACAGAATGATATGACTTTAGAGAAAACCACCAACCCATATCACGCTAGAATAAAGACCACAGAACAAAAAGACTGGATACTGATCCATGAAAACAATGATCATTCCCTTATTCTTCAGCCCTTACTCTTCCACTTCTACTTGGATCTCTCTGCCATCTAAATGATCCTGATAAATGCATAAAAAAGGAATATGATGAGAATTTTGCAAGGATCTGCTATCCAGTTGTTCCAAGGTAAAAAGTGGATCTAAACAATTTCATAACATTCTGTGCTACTCTCAATGAAGTGTGAATTACTGGTATATATATATTTCTATAGATTCAGCAGAATGAACAATTTTCCAATAGGTAAATGTAGTTGGAGACATACCTTCTAAACACAGCTTTGTCTACACAGGCTATGAAAGTGGAGAGGAGGTACAGAATTGTTAGCCATGTTTACTCTAGGTAGCAACTTATACATCATGGGATTTGGAAAGTCTCTATGCTAATGGTGGCACGCCCTTCTAGAAGAAAGAAAATTAAAAATTAGCTTTATTAAAGGTAGAAGAATTAACTTTATTTAAGAAAAAATAGTTTTATTAAAGGTCCCTGGAAATGAGAAGGATTAGGCCATCTGTGGTGGTGACCTGACTACGACCAGGGCAGTGAACTGCAGCTACATGCTTTTGGTGAAGGGATTTAAGATTTATTGATGTCTAGCTGAAAAGAAAAGGAAAATATTGCTTTTACCTGGCTGAGCTGAGACTGAGGTATTAAGGCTTCTTTAAAAACTTCAAATTCACAAGGGAAATCTGCTTCAGTTTTTCCAACATGACAAAACACAGCATGTGGTCTTGGTTGCACCCAAGACAAATAAAACCTGTCATAGTAAGCAGAGTTGCTATTCATTCCAGATTTGCTGGAGTATTTGTTCAACCAATCTACAGAGCTAAGTAAAGTTTTCAGTGATGCTACAACCATTCTGTCTGTAACTAGTTCTCTTTTCCACTGTTACTCTCCATTTCTACTTTTTTACACATTTTAAATTGTTTAAACATGGCACATCTTTTTGCTGAGAAATGCATCCATATTATGCAATTTTACTACCTGCATATTCTTCAAATACTCTTAAGGTATATGCATTTTATTGTATTGTTAAATTAACTTATATCTTTAGAAGCACTGTATTATAAAATTAGAGTCTGACAGAAAGAAAAAGCTCACTATACCTCTTCTAGGCAGATAGTACGCTAAAATTCCTTAATTTGTGACATTTACTTAATCCTAGAAAAGAAAAAATAAAATGAAAAATGATATACTTCAATGGGAACTCTACAATATTCTTAGAATATTTTACTAACTCTGTAAACCCTAACACCATTGCTGTCAATGTCACATTCACCAAATCATGCCTTCTTGAAGTAAAATCTTAATATGGGCTACTCTGTCAATGTGACATTTTCATTAGTTCTATTATTTTTGAACAGTATCTCAGCACTATAAAAAATATCCTGAAACGTGGTCTCTGCCTGTTAGCTCATGACTGTCAGAGGACAACACTTTTTTGATTATGTCATTGAATTTAGTCATGAAATATGTGTCCTTACTACACACAGAGACACGATTTTATCCTTCGTATTTTGTTATATGCCTCTATGATATGAGCAAAAAGAGCTGTGTTCACAATATCAAAGAAGCACAATTGGGTCACCTTTGTCACAGACTAAAAAAAAAAGCAAAAGACATAAGACTGGATTTAGAATGTGCTTAAAACAAATTCCACAGCCTAACAATAAAGATGGTGACTCCTGCTGTTTCAAGTCCAGTGCCCCTCAGAGGCACGGATCACCCTGAAACAGAAAGGGAATGCTGGCCTTTCAATAAAACTGAGGTTGATTTCAGTGGTCTTTATGGCAGAGTCAAATACAACATGGGAGGAGGACTGACTGGACCAATTCAGCCCTCCTTGAAGCAAGATAAGAAAAATAACTTTATAGTATTTTCCCTGCAAGGCACTGAAGGGCACACCATTAAGGCAACTGATTATAGTACAAAAAGAAGCCAGGGTCATTTGAGTCTTTATTAAAGATTATTCGTTTCGTGCATGAGGAGCTGCCCAGGTTATGGCTGCACATCGCTTGCATGGAGCTCCTGGATTCTTCAAACACTGTGTGTATCTGATTAGAAGGGAAACAACATTATTCTTGCTTGAGGAGAGAAACTGACCTTCACTGACCAGAATTTTTATTCATACAAAGAATCCTTTGGCACACCAAATTTTCAAGCTCATGTGATCCCTCATCAGCAAGCTGCAGTGTTAGTTCATGTGCAAAATCAAAAAGTCTGCATCAGCCCAGGTACCGCCTTGGTTATTCAACAGATAATGTTGGAGCTTCTTCACAAGAGTATAATGTAAATTTAATGCTGAGCTGACATTAACTAAACACTATTACTGTAGCTCTCACTGAACCTATGTTCCCTAAAGAAGACTCAGGGCTTCTGTTCAGTCATTTGTACCATGTGAGAAGTTAAGTGCTCCATTTCACATTTATTATCATCCAAGTGTAACATTCCTATTTTTACCCAAATGACTAGGAACATGTACAGACAAACACACACCTCTTCTGGGAACAAAAACATTATTTTAGATTACTGGAAGTTTATGTAATGAGGTGAGGTTGCTCTTAGGGGACACATCTGGGTCACTGGGCTCTACCAGTCCAGCGAAACAAG